AAAAAGCAAGTAGCAGTGAAGCCTACATGTGCTCGATTAGAAGATGAGAATGTGAAGTTTGTATTTCTGATGTGAAATAGCTAAGCATTTATCTGAGCGTGACGCCAATTCTTATCCTAATGGAGCGTGACGTAATACCAAGGTGTTATAGAAACAAGGGTAAAGACAATTGATAACCTTTATGGAAAGGACAGCTGATTTTAGTGGATTTTTTTCAACTTCATCGAAACTGTTGATGCTAGAAGACTGATTTCAGGAGGCTCCTAATGCGACTCTCAGTGGGGATTTAGTTTGCGTGTGCAACTTTGGCGTCGTCACATTTTCTGGCTCGTACTCTCGTGTGGTCGGTTTTTGGTCTGTCTTGTTCCTGTCAATAATTTCTCGGAAAACCGCAGTCTTTGAATTAACCAGTAAGGAGGCTATCCCTAGCCTTTTACTGGAATTTTATGTGCAAGTGTCGAAGATACAACATAAGTCAACTACTAGGCTTTCGATAATCCTAATCATTGGTGTTTGAACTTTGAAGCTAACTAGCTTCAATAATACTCGTTTCAGAAGACTTTGGTCAGATATTTCACTGAAGGACAGCTTTTTGGAAGTAATTGAGTAGTGGTCAAGGTGGTTTAAATAGGACAAATTTTCAACTAATGGTGAGTGGTTAAGTGAAGTGCTGATGATGATGAAAGAAAGGTAGAACAACCTATGGATAAGGAAACGTATTTTAGATTCAATGGTTTAACACAATTTGAGCATTCGGTGTAAATGATATTGTTTTGGCGTGTAGATATACCAAAATAATCATAGAACAACGTAGTTTGTGCATGAATACTGCAATAGCAACATAATAAAAGTGATGTGAATAATGCAGTTCTCGCTTCCAATGAATCAGTAGGCGTTATCAAACTTTTATCGGAGTGTTGCATCTATGTAAGTCGTATACGGAATATGGCGCTTTCTAGATACCCAGAATAAGGTATATGGTTGACTGAGGGTGCAACCCCTTCTAGTCTGACTTTCAGTTTAATCTATATGTTAGCTGACCAATCTTGTGTTGCACTGCTATGGTTGTCGGTGACCAAAAAAGATTCATTCTTTATTTGTTGATTCTTGATCCTGAAGCTTATACGCACCGCTAGTTTGAAATCAGGGTTTTCTAACTTTCTTATGCAGACCCTCTGTATCAACCAATCCATGGACCAGTTTCTGGAAAAACGCTTCCCACGTGTAGGCAGTGTTTAGGTTGTAAATGCATGACCTTATGAGAACATTTCTAGAGGAAGAGACGGCGTATGCCGCCACCCTCAGCCGTACTAGGGTATTTCGGTGTTCAGAACAGCACTGCTATTATGTGTTTGGCTCTTACTTATTCTTGCTTGCCAGTAGCGTATATCATACGTTTCTTTTTCAATGTCACTTTAACTGGTACTGTCTCTGTCACTTCACAGAAAATACCTTAAGTGACCATCTAAGCTTGCTGTGGATTTTATTCATGTAACTCAACGTTATTATTATTTGTCCTTTTGGTTCCTAGTGGGACGTAGAGCTTCAGTAGCACGTCTAGATTTCACTCCGTTCTCTGCAGTATTTTGAACCTGACTCCAAATTACTTCTCGCTTGATGCTATCGAAGGCTTTTTCAAAATCAATGAAGTTGAGGTAGAGAGTTGACTGCCATTCTATACTCTGTTCTATGATGATGGGTAGCTTAGTGTAGCGTGGCAATTTGATCCGCACATGATTTGTTCTTCCCGAAGCCTGCCAGTCAACCTGTTGCAGTCGTAATTTTGAACGGAGAACATCCTTTAGTCTCTCCAGGATGATGCGGCATAATATTTTGATGGGGGTGAACAGCAGCATGATTCCGCGTCAGTTCTTGCAAAGGCTTAGGTCTCCCTTCTTTGGAAGTTTGACAGGGTAGGCCTTCTTCCAATCAGTTGGCCGGTACCTTTCCTTCCTTGCAAACCTTCTGCAATAATGGCGCGAGTGTGTCCACTGTTGTCTCCGCATCTGTTTTCAGTGCTTCTGGAGGAATTCCATCTGGTCGTGCTGCTCTCCCGAATTTCAGCAGTTTTATGGCATTCCGGACTTCCGCTTTCATCGGAGGGCTTGTGTTTACTGGTAATTCTGCCATTGCTGGTGGTATTTCTGGATGAGTTGCAGGTGTTGGTCGATTCAAGAGGTTTTTGAAGTGGTCAGCCCATCGTTTCCTTTGTTTCTCCTCTTTGGTAACTAGCTTTCCTTCACTATCTCTCATCGGTTTAATGTGTGTTGATCTCTTCCCAGACAGCAAGTAACCTGGTTATTTGATATAGTGTTATCAGGTATCTGTCTCTCCTACCAGCAGCCTGTTCTGCTTCACTTGTCAATGTGTCGTAGAAGTGTCTTTTGTCTTGCGTGCACTCTTCTTCACTTCTTTGTCCAGTGTAGTGTATTATGGGTTGGTTCATCTTCTGCTTCACCATCTTCCTCTCGCTGCTCTATCAACTTCCATGTGTTCGTCGAGATCCATTTCTTGTCTTGCCTCTTCGTCTTCCTTCCACATCTCTTTCAAAGAGTTCCAGTGTTCTTGCACGCAGGTTTCCTCAAGGACGTTGCTTAGTGTCTCGCATTTTCTCCTGACGACTGACTGACTGACGTGAAGATGTCCTTTGTAGTTTTGTGCTTGAGTTCAGTTTGTGTTCTGGGTGTTCAACTTGAACTGTTGTCGATCATCACCAACTTCTTTGAAGTCTTTCAACTTGATTTGGAAGGTAGGTAGGTTCCTTGCAGTAGATAGTGAAGTGAGTGGTGTGAACCTACATCTGCTCCCCTTGTTGATCCAGTAGGCTGCGTCTCCACTTTCTTCACATTGAGATGAAGTCGATCTAGTTTTTAGTGTGTCCTGGTGTCTGATGAAGTGCATGTCGCTTTGTGAATGTCCTTGTGTTTGTACACACTGCCTCGCTTCGAATCACGAAATGGTTGAGTGCGCAGAAGTCTGCAAACAGTTCTCGATTCTCATTGATCATTTCACCGAGTGCTTCTCGACCCATGATGAGTTTTCTTCTTGTGTTGTCCGCTCCCAGTTTGACATTCATGTCACCCCACATATTAGAATGAATTTTGATGTCGCCATCTGTGGTGGAGTCTTGTGTAGTACTGATTGGAGTTGTGTGTAGAATTCCTCTTTCTTCTGTCCATCTGCATTATTTGTAGGTGAGTAGCGTGGCATTGAATGATTGTGACTATGCTTCCTTTTGAGTTGAATCTTGCTGTCTGTCATGATGCTGATCCTGCAGGAGGAGATTGTTTCCCACTGTATGAGAGAGAGAGCCTTGGATGCTGTTGATGACATTATGATAGCCACTTGAAAACTCAGTGTGCTCGTGGTAGTCGTCTGGGTTAGATTATCGGAGTAGATTATTGACTGTGGAGTTAAGAGTTTGGAGAGTCCATTTCCATTCCACCTGGTTTCGCAAATTCCTAGCATTTCTTTTCTATACCTTCTAATCTCTTTTGCGATCTGGGCAGCCTTTCCAGTCAGCTTCAAACATTGTGCGGGCATTCCATGTCCCCATGTTTATTTTTGCTTTCATCGAGAGATAGAAGGCACATTGGGCAATTGGCTTCCCTAAGGCCTTCACCAACCGGCATCATTTCGTCCCTCCGGTTTCTTTGTGCTTTCAAGTTTGTTTAGCGATTGTATTGGTTTTGCGGGGTAGGGTTGCTAGCCGTATGCCCAACCTGCTCTCTTTGCTCGGGCCTAGGGCCGATTAGTAACTAGTGAACTAGCTAACAAGGCGAGGTTAAGTTTAGGAGTATGAGCATCCGAATTCGACCGTGTTAACCATTAGTGGGTTGATAGAAGGGATGGCAACTGAAATCAGTGGTCGGAGACTCTAAGATCACATGGTTCAGAATCGTTCTGGGTGGTGCAGATACATCCCAGCTGACGATTCCCAAATGGGATGAAACACGCATCTTGGATTCCACTGCTACCCCCAACGAAGCCAATTATCGAGGAGAATAGTCTATCTAGTTTTAGCTCCTAATGTTGCGTATGGCAGTGTAAGTGTTCCTGTGGGACAATTTGCATTAAGCGTACATTTAACCAGTGTTTCTCCGGACACAAGAACACATACCGCTTGGCTTGTCAAAGGTGAAGTGTAAGTGGTGCGAAGTTCTGTCTTACCCCATTTGATAAACATTGTCCATCATACAGATGCTAATAGAGTTTTTAATTTCATTCATCGTGCTCCAAAAACAATGCCACATGTAGCTCACCAACACTCGCGTAACTTAACTGAGGCTGTCTCAATGAGCTTGATCAAACATGAACTGTATATTAAGGAGGAACATGTTCAAGGGTTATTTCTGCCTTACCCTTCAATAAACTAAAAGCTGCTTCCATCCTCCTTATTGTTTTTGTTTCTTCCACCGTCAGATTCTTCATTTGTATGTAGGTAATCCTGACAACGGCAAATTTAAAAATAAAATTCGATCTGCCTAAATTACCTAATTCATATTCCATTTTGAAAATGGTATTCGCTTCAAATTTGTTCTATTTGTACACTCTACATTTGCATTTATATAATTGTAGAACCTAGTGAGAATTTATAAAAGAATATTCTTTGTTCACGTTGAAGAACATTGTTCTTAAGCTAGTCACTAAGATTGATTCTGAAGGTCATCCTAGCAAGTACTGAAATAACCAACCAAGTTTGTTAATTTAGTCTCAAAAGTTACAATTTTTATGAAGTAAAGAACCTAATTGGTTATTTCAGTCCTTGTTAGGGTAACCTTTAAAGTCATTCAATCACTGACTAATGGCTGTACAATTGAAGAGTTGTTGAATCTAGGCCTATTTAACTTAGTTGCATCTTTATGCATCCTGGAATTCTGTCCTTTATTGAGGAAATAACAACTCCTAGTTTTTTTCTTTTTATTCCTCTATTTGTATTAAAATTCCACTTAAATTTTATGGTTTAACCACTCTGCTTGAAATTTCTTCAAAAATTTCAGAATGAAGAAATTTTATCTTTAAAATCAAAAATCAATCATTTAGAACAGCAATATTCAACTGCTTCTCAAAATGCCAAGGATATGCATAATCAACTTATCTGCCTTAGACGGTAAGTATACATCTCACCTTTCTCTGTGTTATTTTACAAGGTTTGTAAGTCTATCTCACTGCTTACCTCCTCGCGAATTGTATATTGTTTAGGTCTCATATGCTATTCATATTTTTAGGCCTTCATTATATGTCATATTGAGTGGTTGAATTTCAGTTGGTAGGGAGGGAGTTCTGCATCTGAAGAGCTACAATTACTTGCATTTCTCAATAATATGCTTTTCAAACTAAAGAATGCTTCATCAGAGATTCCAAACTTCATTATTTAATACTGCAGTCAAAAACGCTACCACTGAGCTATTTGAAACACTGAGCTAAGAGAGATATCGTTCTTCAGCAATTGACATGTTTGGTCACTCAACTTTAAAGTGCTATTCACGAGACATATTTTAGGTTAAATTTATACAGGGATTGTAGGTGTTACACTGCTGAATTACAAGTAGGGCACTCTTCAGCCCAGGCTGAATTGACCATTAACACATGAAAAGTATGAGCAACAATCTCGTCTTAGAAAAAGGATTAGTTACACAGACTGGATAGCCTTGACCGGAAAAATGTAGACCAATGCGCTTAGAAGTAACGGTTCGAGAAAAAAGCGCTACCCACTCAGCAACCTTATGTAGTAGACGATGAGCCACACCAATTGTGTAACCTAGCTGCGCAAACCTGGGTCGATGAAGCATCTTTTGAATCTATGACCCGCTGGATAGGTCAATTAACCACGCTCTATGGTTGTGTGCATAATATCGAAAAGGTAAACCTATTGATTGCATACAGCTCCTAGTTATGAATCACTTGGTCCAAATATTTATCTGATGATTTTCCAGCCTTCAGTAAACAACGGTTGGTTACTGTAAAATCAGTTTCTCTTTTTCTTAAATAAAAGTTTATTAGTGGTATTTTTTTTCTTAGGTAGCCAGGTAGTTTCACTGACTTTCTAACAATCGATAGGATTCATTGTTTGGTATTCGAACTATTGTGTTTTACATTTGGACTATTTGACAAAATATCGACTTAAGTAAATTGACGTTTTCTAACCTCAGTCGTCTTCACTGCTCACTTCATATCGGAAAGTTTAAGAATGTTACCAGTTTTTACTGTCATTTTCCTGATGTGTACGAAATATATGTGAGCAATATGGGTAGTTATATTGGTTTTTTATAGGCAAGGTAGATAATTCAACTACAGACATCCAGAAGCTGCACAGACAGATACTTTGTTAGAGTCTGTTCACACTCAGAAGACAGAAGTATGAACGGTCGTATCAGTTTGGTCAGAAAGAAGGCTACTGTTATTTGAAGAAAAACCTTTCACTGTTGTCCTTTCAAATACAGGTCATACATTCGTATCCAAAGTACTTTCTCAATATTCAAAGGTGATTTGCAAAGTCAAAAGAAAGTATGCTAATCTTTGTTCATGGTTAGCCTACCTCTTCCTCCCCGCTTCAGCATGATATAGCAGTTAATATCACCACAACAAATGACATACAGTTAGTTAGTTACCCACATATCCAACCAGGTGAATATATTGCTAGTAGCGCTTGTAGAAATGTAGAAAAATAAACTTTCATTTTCAATTCTGAGAGTGTCATTTCAATGTAGAAGAAGCGCGGAACCTACTGCTGGGAAAACGATGATCTGGGTAACTGTTAGATACCTAATTCAAATCCAAACGGAACTGAAATCAGCAAACTCTAGACTAGAAATTACACCATACCTTTTATTTTCGCGGCTTTCAAGCAAAACCTGTCAATGATTTGAGTCAAATTGAGATTTGGTTGGTATGTGAGTGTCGTGGATGGCTCAATAGCACAACTCAGTAATAACTAGGTTGTAACTGACTCTGGTCAAGTTGCTGTCTACGTTTCCCCTTCATCTCAATCATTATCATCTGCCTTGACGTGCCATCCTAGAGGAGATTTGATTAGGTTGCAAGAGGGTTAGGCTGGACAGACTAAGACGTGGCGCTAGCGCATGAAGTCGCTGACTGTTGGTTTGAACCATGTAGGGAGATCTAAAACACCTGGCTTGGCTTCCCGAGACGACAGGGGTCAGTGGTTGAGGACTCTTGGTGAAATGGATAAAGATCGGTCACAATGATGAAGATGTATTCACTCTTTGATGTCTTCTAAATCTTGAATGTTTTAACTAACCTTAATTTTTAACTTTCCTCTCGTTCCATAGACCTTTATTTAATTTGATATCAGTTTCCTTTTTCGGACGATTTTTTAACTTTATAGTGAACATGTTGAAATGATGAATAAATCATTGTTAACCAAAGGTTGTTCTACTAACAAGGAGAACAGTGATAATACGGTGGAAGTAAACGAATCAACCGATGCTTGTAATGAATCAAGTCCAAATGACAGTGATAATGTTTCATTTTCACCCAAAATATGCAATTTTCCTGATAGAACTAGAAAATCTTGCCGGTAAGTTGTTTTGAAAAGATTACACCCTTGTTGTATAATTGTTCAATAGTTTCAGGTAATTGTAAGTGGTAGATTTCTCCTTTCAGCAGAATATGTTGGGAGGTTGGAGGGAACACACTACTTTACCTTTTTCACCCCTTACTACTCAAATGTGAAATCCAAAATATCATCACTGAACTATTCTGAGAGTGATTTATTCCTGTAATGCTTATATAAATCCGGTTAATCTTTTGGTATTCAGTACCTTACATAACATTTGGACTCACTGTGGTCAAACAAGGATATCATTATTTGATAGGCTATTTCAATATTGAAGGGGAGTATAAACGCTTGGTTTTCAAGAACATTCAGTCATTGGTTCAAATTTCACTTTGCTTACTTCGGGTCATATTTACTATTGTGTAGTATCATAGTCTCGCACATATAGAGTTATGACTCATAACATGAACCTGGTTGCTGAGGCTTGAATTACCTTCTAATCTTCTGATTCCTATCCTTATTGCTGAAGGTTTCAGTGCTTAAGAAAGGGGATAAAATAAGAGCTATTGAGTAGGTGAATAAACGGTTGGTTATGCCTTTCATTCATTGGATTTCCGGTTTATGTAATCGACTCCCTGTCAGTCTGAGAGAAGATACTGCTGAGGAGTTTTACCTTCTTGAGCTGACAATATGACTAATATCGGTGTTCTCAGCTTCAGTTAGTTTTGTCTATTGTTACTGCTGCGAGCTTCCCATGTTCATATTTGTTCCTGATGCTTGTAACTTCACATCAGCTAACTTTGAGTAAAGACAAGTGTATTCCATTGTCCCAAAATGAAGATTGATTATGTATTTCACAGAACATACGGAAAATGCACATGGTCTGGAAAGCGTAGACGATGAGGTTAAGAAGTCAGCAAATGCAAACAAAAAGAAGTAACGTTTAGATTGTTCTGTTCATTCGTCTGGTCTAGGAATGCATCAAGGAGTCTTCTTGACAGTTGGGGTGTGTACGTTTATGGCGATTAAACAATTGGAGTGTGGTTAGTTCATTATGTAGTACAGTCACCTGCAGATGATTGGTGAAAATGACGAAGACATTATGTGTACCAGCCATCCATGTTTTTTGTGTAATACGTGTCATGAATATCACCTGTTACTTAAACTACAACTGAATCAGTGTGTTTCTTTTACTGTCCTTTTTTCATATTTGTTCATTAATATCACCAATGATGATGTATATCTGTGAAGTAACCTGTCCAAGGAATTTTCCAAGTACATTACCCATCTTTTACCTGATAATGATATAATGCTGAAGAAATCAATGAAAATTTTCATCTAACTGATTCATTGGATGAATTTGTAATATTTTTAGCTCAGTATGTCGAGAAGATTTTAACGTATTTGGTTGATAAAGGCAAACTGGTAAGTAGGATGGTGTTTTTGTGTGTATGTATGGCGGATATTTATACATTTTGGGGGTTATTACTTTAGATAACGATAATGTAGTTAAACAGTAAAAATGTAATGTTTGTGCCGTACATTTGAAACAACCAGATCATAAATATACTACTTGTCACGAAGTGTTTTATATATGGAAAATGGAAATCAAAAAAGAATAAGTATGACAGTATAGAATGTGATAATCAAAAAAGTAATTAAGGAGGAAAAATAAGCTTTGAAACGGACCTTAGCAATAGGATGGGATAAGTATTAGCTGGACAGGTTTCACAAAAGGACATGCATACTAAGGCTTCAGCAAACGTAAGTATACATGTGAAGAAGAAGAAGAAGAAGGAAACCACAGCCACCTGCCCTTTTTGTATATACTCACTCTTCAGTCATAGGGGAGATGGTTCAATAAAACGACCTATATACAGCAAAACCAACTCGGACGGGCAGTGCTCAAGTTCCTATGACTTTTTTCCAAGTCAGCCAATATTACTGAAGGCTTGATCAAATGTCTATTCAAAATCTTCCAACATATTTGTACAGCAGACTCAATGGATGAGGGCATCAAAAGGCTGATTAAATCAGTAAATATAAATGGATATCCACTTAAAGTTCATCAACCATCTTAGAAACCCACTCTGTATTATTTTCCCTAAACAAAGCGTTTATTTCACACTGCTATGCATTCACCCAAATATACTATTTAGCTATACTTATCATAGTTTTAAAATAATCAAACAAATGTTACAGCACATACCTTATACCTGGACAAGCGATTACTTCACACTCCATTGCGTTTACCAGTTTACGTGTATGGAGACACATGAACACGATCCAGATATGGACTTAAGGGTAGTGGAACATGTTTTCAAATGACTAGAAAAACACCTAGATGCATGAATATCGATAAGCACTAGTAGCAAGTAGACAAAAATCACCATCCATTGTTGATAATAATCACAGGACTGAATATTAGAACAACCATTAAAATTTTATATGCAAACTGATATTGGTGTATGTATACTTAAGTTTATCATTTTGGCTAGGTTTGTGGAAGCGCTAGTCATGCGGAAACAAGCCCCTCTTGTGTGTTCAAAACAGCAATTTGTCTTTGTGTTAAGCCCTGATCCGCTAATATTTGTCTCATCCTATTATTGAGGTTGGTTTCAAAGCTTATTTTTCCACCTTATTTACTTTTCGATTATCACATTCGATACTCTCATACTTGTTCTTTTTCTATTTCCATTTTCCATAGATAAAACACTTTGTGACAAGTAGTAAATTTATGATCTGGTTGTTTCAAATGTACAACACAAATAAATTACTTTTTCATATGAACTAGGTGTTGTAATCGATTTATTCAGTCATAAAAACGGACTAGTTGTTTCAGAGAATAATATTTTAATTTAAGGTTGTTTATTTTGCAAGATTCCAGTTGTCTATAGGATGAATTATAGAAATGATGGGTAGTGGCTAGCAGCGACATCCAGGACGCGCATTCCGTCTTATTCGGGACTTGTCAGCTGGATGTACCTGCCTCCCCATGAGTGTTGTTCCCACCGGGATTCGAATTCGGGACCGACCGCTTCAAATGCCAGAGCGTTGTCCACTAGACCACCGAGCCACGATGGCCATTTCTTGTGCGACGGGCATAGTTTTAGTATAATTGCTTGTATTATACTGTCTTTGATTGGACCGAATTGATCGGTCTATTGGCATATGG